CTTGCATCTTGGTTACCAGCTCAGCCACAGCAGGATAGGGCACCAGTCATGAGTCCCTGGTTCCAGGCCCTAGCTCCCAGATGACATTTCAAGACACCCTGAGCCAGAAGAGTATTCCCTGCCTTGAAGAAAAGGGCTCAATCCTTACAGCATTCATCATCTGCTAACTGAAGAGCTCTTGGGCCCTGAATAACCAGCAGTGATGCCCAGGAACCACCTCGAGGGTCTTGCTGAGCCTCTGAGGCTTGCTGGCTGCCGGTGAGCCTCAGCAAATTTCCGCTGTGGTGCTATGGGGCAAAACTCCTGCTTTAGAAAAGCAGAGGTAAAAGTAAAGGGGACTTTGTCTTGCCCCTTAGGTACCAACACCACCATAGGGAGGTAGAGCATCAAGTGGGTTCCTGGGGTCCCTGATTCTAGAGCTGACTGTTGGCTAGCATTTATGGAACTGCCCTGGGCCAGAGGGGTGCTCACAGCACTGAAAAGTGAGTGCTACACCAGTCAACATTCACCACAAGTGGACTTAAAAGCCCCTGCACCTTGAGGGTACTCCAGTGGTATTCTGGCAGTACACCTTGCCTTGTAGCCAGGGGAGGCAGTGGCTAAGAGGTGAGGCTACTCTGACTTTGGAAAGTGAAGGGAAGGATAAGAAGGGCTGAGACTTGTGGTTTGAGTACCAGCTCAGCTGCAATGCAATAGAATACCAGGTACACTTCTAAGGTTTTTTAACTCTAGTCTCTGACCACCAGACAACACTTCTAGACTCACCCAGAGATTGGGGAACCTCGCCATCCTGAAGGGAAGAACACAGGCCTGGCTGGCTTTGCTACCTGTGGATTGTAGAATCCCAGGACCTTGAGAAAACATAGGCAGTAGTAAGGGAGTGGTTACAATGGGCCTTAGGCAAGACTCAGCACTGCTCTGGCTTCAGGTGTGACCCAGCACAGTCACAATGGTGGTGGCCACAGGGATGCCTGTGTCACTCCATACCCAGATTTAGGTGACTCAGAACAGAGAGAGACTCTTTATGCTTTGGAGAAAGTAAGGGAAGAGAAAAAGAGTCTCTGCCTGGTCGTATATAGAATTCTCCCAAATCATGTTCATGACTATCAGGGCAGCATCTCTGTGAGTCTGGGAGAACCACAGCATTATTGGGCCTGGGGTGCCCCATAAAGAAGACACAGTTTAGAGCACAACACCCAGGTCCTTTCAAATAGCTGGAAAGCCTTCCCAAGAAGGACAGCTACAAATAAGCCTAGACAGTGAAGGCTACGTTAAATACTTAACTCTTCAATGCCCAGACACGAAAGAATATCTACTAGCATCAATACCATCCAGAAAAACATGACCTTACCGAATAAACTTGAAAAGGCACCAGGGACCAATCCTGGAGAAACAGAGACGTGTACTTTCACAGAGAGAATTCAAAATAGCTGTGTTGAGGAAACTCAAAGAAATTCAACATAACAGAGAGGAGGACTTCAGAATTGTATCAGATAAATTTAACAAAGAGATTGAAATAATTAAAAAGAACCAGGTGGAAATACTGGAGCTGAAAAATGCAACTGGCATGCTGAAAAATGAATCAGTCTTTTAATATCAGAATAGACAAAACAAAAGAATTAGTGAGCTTGAAGATAGGCCACTTGAAAATACACAGAGAAGACAAAAGAAAAAAGAATAAAAAATAATGATGCACACCTACAGGATCTAGAAAATAGATTGAAAAAGGAATCTAAGAGTTGTTGGCCTCAAAGAGGAGGTAAAGAAAGAAATAAGGGTAGAAAGTTTATTCAAAGGGATAATAATGAGAACTTCTGAAACCTAGAGAAATATATTAATATCCAAGTACAAGAACATTATAGAACACCAAGCAGATTTAACTCAAAGAAGACTACCCCAAGGCATTTAATAATCAAGTCTCCAAATGTCAAGAATAAAACATCCTAAAAGCAGCAAGAGAAAAGAAACAAATAACATACAATGGAGCAGAAATACGCTGGGCAGCAGACTTTTCACTGCAAACCACTTTACAGGATAGAAGGGAGTGGCGTCATGTATTTAAAGTGCTAAAGAAAAAAAAACCCTTTTACCTTAGAATGGTATATTCAGTGAAAATATCCTTTAAACATGAAGGAGAAGTACTTTCCAAGACAAACAAAAGCTGAGGGATATCATCAACACCAGACCTGTGCTAAAAGAAATGCTAAAGGGAGTACTTCAACCAGAAAGAAAGGGACATTAATGAGCAATAAATAATCACCTGAAGGTACAAAACTCACTAGTAATAGTACACAGAAAAACACAGAATATTATAATACTGTAACTGAGGTATATAAACTACTCTTATCCTAAGTAGAAAGACTAAATAATGAACCAATCAAAAAGAAGAACTACAACTTTTTAAGACATAGTACAACAGTAAGACGTAAGTAGAAACAATAAAAAGTTAAAAAGAGGGGGGATTAAGTTGGGGCAAGTTTTTATTAGTTTTCTTTTTGCTTGTTTATGTAAATAGTGTTAAGTTGTTATCAGGTTAAAATAATGGGTTATAAGAAGATATCTGCAAGCCTCATGGGAACCTCAAACCAAAAAACATACAATGGACACACTAAAAATAAAATGCAAAAAACTAAATCATATTACCAGATAAAATAATCTTCACTAGAGGAAGACAGAAATGAAAGAAAGAAGGAAGAGAAAGCCACAAAACCACCAGGAAACAAAAAATCAAAATAGAAGTACTAAGTCCTTACTTATCAATAACACTGAATGTAAACTTCCCAATCAAGACACTGACTAACTGAATAGATGAAAAACCAAGACCCATTGATCTGTTGCCTAGAAGAAACACACTTCACCTATAAAGACACACAGACTGAAAATGAAAGGATAGAAATAGACATTCCATGCCAAAGAAACCAAAACAGAACAGGAGTCACTATACTTATATCAAACAAAATAGATTTAAATACCAAAACTGTAAAAAGAGACAAAGAAGGTCACTATGTGATGATAAAAGGGTCAGTTCAGCCAGAGGACAAAATAATTTTAAATAGATATGCACCCAACACTGCAGTGCCCAGATATATAAAGCAAATATTACTCAAGTAAAAGAGAGATGTACACCCCAATACAATAACAACTGGAGACTTCAACACTGCACTTTGAGCATTAGAAATATCTTCCAGGCAGAAAGCCAACAAAGAAACAGCAGACTTAATCGGCACTACAGACCAAATGGATCTAATAGACATTTACAGAACATGTCCTGCAACAACTGCATAATACACATTCTTTTCCCCAGCACATAGGTCTTTCTCAAGAATAGGCCATATTTTAGGTCACAAAACAACTCTGAAAACATTAAAAAAAAAAAACTGAAATAATATCAAGCATCTTCTAGAGTCACAATGGAATAAAACTGGAAATCAGTAGGAATTTAGAAAACTATATGAATACATGGAAATCAAACAATATGCTTCTGAATAACCGGTGGTTCAATGAAGAAATTAAAAAGGATACTGAAAAATTTCTTGAAACAAGTGATAAGAGAAATACAACATGCTAAAACTTATGGAATACAGCAAAAGCAGTACTCAGAGGGAAGGTGATATCTGTAAGTATCTACATCAAAAAAGAGGAAAAACTTCAAATAAATAATTGAATGATGCATCTTAAGGAATTAGAAAAGAAAGAGCAAATCAAACCCATAATTAATAGAACAAAAGAAATAATACCAAGCAAAATTAAATGAAATTGAAATAAAAAATACAACATGAAAGATCAATGAAACAAAAAGCTGTTTTTTTTTGAAAAGTTAAAAAAAATTGACAAACTGTTAGCCAGACTAACTAAGGAAAAAAGCAAGAAGATCCAAATCAAATCAGAAATGAAAAAGGAGACATTACAACTGATACTGCAGAAATTCAAAGGATCATTAGTGGCTACTATGAGCAACTATATGCCAGTAATTTGGAAAATCTAGAAGAAATGGACAAATTCCTAAAGAGATACAGCCTACTGACATTAAACCAGGAAGAAATCCAAAACCTGAACAGGCCAATAACAAGTAATGAATTTGAAGCCATAATAAAAAACATTCCCAGTAAAGAAAAGCCCGGGACCTAATGGCTTCATTGCTGAATTCTAACAAACATTTAAAGAACTAATACAAATCTTACTAAAACTATTCTGAAAAATAGAGGAGGCAGGAGTACTTCCAAACTCATTCTATGAGGCCAGTACTACCCTGATACCAAAACCAGACAAAGACAGATCCAAAACAGAAAACTACAGGCCAAAATCTCTGATGAATATTGATGCAAAAATCCTCAACAAAATACTAGAAAACAGAATTCAACACTAAATTAGATCATTCATCGTGACCTGGTAGGATTTTTTCCCTGGGATGCAAGGATGATTCAACATATATAAATCAAACAATGGGATATATCACATTAATAGAATAAAGGATAAAAACTATATGATCATTTCAAATTGATGTTGACAAAGCATTTGATATAATTCAACATTCCTTCATGATAAAAACCCTCACAAAACTGGGAATAGAAGGAACATACTTCAACATAATAAAAGCCATACACAACAGATCCACAGCTAGTATCACAATGAATGGAGAAAAACTGAAAGCTTTTCCTCTAACATCTAGAACATGACAAGGATGCCCAGTGTCAAAAGTGTTATTCAACATAGTACCAGAAGTCCTAGCTAGAGCAATCAGACAAAAACAAAAACAAACAACAACAACAAAAAGATATAAAGGCATCCAAATTGGAAAGGAAGAAGTCAAATTATCCTTGTTTGCAGATGATGATATGATCTTATATTTGGGAAAACCTATAAACTCCACAAGAAAACTATTAGAACTGATAAAAACCAGTAAAATTTCAGGAAACAAAATCAACACACAAAAAGGACCAGCATTTCTATGTGCCAACAATGAACAATCTGAAAAAGAAATAAAAAAGTAATTCAAGTTCTCGCTTTGGCAGCATATATACTAAAATTGGAATGATACAGAGAAGATAGCATGGCCCCTGAACAAGGATGATATGCAAATTCACGAAGCATTTCATAGTTTTCATCCTATGCCAGTCAGAATGATGATTATTAAAAAGTCAGGAAACAATAAATGCTGGCGAGGCTGTGGAGAAATTGGAACACTATTACACTGTTGGTGGGAATGTAAATTAGTTCAGCTATTGTGGAAGACAGTGTAGTGATTCCTCAAGGATCTAGAATGAGAAATACCATTTGAGCCAGAAATTCCATTACTGGATATATACCCAAAGGATTATAAATCATTCTACTGTAAAGACACATGTGTGTATATATTTATTGCAGCACTATTTGCAATAACAAAGATAGAATCAACCCAAATGCCCATCAGTGATAAACTGGATAAAGAAAATGTGGTACATATACACTGTGGAATACTATACAGTCATAAAAAGGAATGAGATCATGTTCTGCTGGGACATGGATGAAGCTGGAAGCCATCATCCTCAGCAAACTAATAAAGGAACAGAAAACCAAACACCACATGTTCTCAGTCATAAGTGGGAGTTGAATAATGAGAATACATGGACACAGGGAGGGGAACAATGCACACTGGGGCCTGTTGGGGGGCAGGAGTGAAAGAAGGGAGAGCATTAGGATAAATAGCTAATGCATGCAGGGCTTAAAACTTAGATGATGGGTTGACAAGTCCAGCAAACCACCATGGCACACATATACCTATGTGACAAACCTACATGTTCTGTACTTGTATTTTGGAACTTAAAGTAAAATAAAAAAAATTTAAAAAGTAATCCAACTTACAATAGCCACACATAAAATTAAATACCTATGCATTAACTTAAGCAAACAAATGCAAGATCTGTATAATGAAAACTGTAAAACACTGATGAACAATATTAAAGAGGACACCAAAAAATCGAAAAATCTTCCATGTTCATGGATTGGAAGAATAAACATTGTTAAAATGTCCACAGGACCCAAAGCAATCTACAGATTAAAAGCAATCCCTATCAAAATGCCAATGACAATCTTCACATAAATAGAAAAAAAAATCCCCAAATTTATATGGAACCACAAAAGACCCAGAATAGCCAAAGTTATCCTAAGTAAAAAGAAAAAAACTGGAGGAACTGTTCCTTCATTCCCTGACTTCAAATTGTACTACAGAGCTATAGTAACCAAAACAGCATGGTACTGGCATAAAAGCAGACATATAGACCAATGGACAGAACAGAGAACCCAGAAACAAATCCACAAACCTACAATGACCTCATTATTGAGAAAGGTGCCAAGAACATAATCTGGGGAAAAGACAATCTCATCAATAAATGGTGCTGGGAAAATTGGATGTCCATATGCAGAAAGATGCAGCTAGACCCCTATCTCCTCTATATACACAAATCAAATCAAATGACATTAAAGACTTAAATGTAAAACCTCAAACCATAAAAATACTACAAGAAAACATTGAGGAAAATCTCCAGGACATTGGTCTTGGCAAAACTTTCTTGAGCAACACCCCACAAGCAATGTAAAAATGGACAAATGGGATCATATCAAGTTAAAAAGCTTCTGCGCAGCAACTGATATACTCAACAAAGTAAAGAGACAGTTCACAGAATGGGGGAAAATATTTTCAAACCACTCATCCGACAAAGGATTAATAGCCAGAATATATAAGGAACTCAAAGAACTCCACCAGAAAAAAATATCCAATAATCCAATCAAAACATCGGCAAAAGATTTGCATAGACAGTACTCAAAAGAAGACATACAAATGGCAAACACGTATCTGAAAAGGTGTTCAACATAATTAATCATCAGTGAAATGCAAATCAAAATTACAATGAAATAACATCTCACCCCCAGTTAAAATGGCTTATAACTAAAAGATAGGCAATAGCAAATGCTAACGAGGATGTGGAGAAAAGGGAATCCTCATATACTGTTGGTAGGAATGTAAGTTAGTACAACTACTAAGAAGACCAGTTTAGAGGTGCCTCAAAAAAACTAAAAATTGAGATACCATATAATTCAGCAATCCCACTGCTGGTTATTACCCCAAAGAAAGGAAATCAGTATATCAAAGAGATATCTGCACAACTATATTTGCTGCAGCACTGTTGATAGCTAAGATTTGGAAGCAACCTAAGTGTCCACCAACAGATGAATGGATAAAGAAAATGTGGTACATATACACAATGTAGTACTATTCATCCATAAAAAGGATGAGATTCATTCATTTGCAACATCATGAATGGAACTGGAGATTATGTTAAGTGAAATAAACCAGGCACAGAAAGACAAATATAGCATAATCTCACTTATTTGTGGGATCTAAAACTCAAAATAACTGAACTCATGGACATAGAGAGTAGACAGATGATTACCAGATGCTGGGAATGGTAGTGGGGGGTTGGCAGGGAGGTAGAGATGGTTAATGGTACAAAATAAATAGAATGAATAAGCCCTAGTATTTGATAGCACGACGAGGTGCCTATAGTCAGTAATAACCATATATTTTTAAATTACATAAAGAGTAGATTGCTTAAAATTCAATGGATAAATTAGGGGATGGATACCCCATTCTTCATGTTGTGGTTATTTCACACTGCATGCCTATAACAAAACATCCCATGTACCCTACAAATATATACACATGCTATGTACCCACAAAAAGTAAAAATTAAAAAGAATAGGTGAATATTCATTTGATTACAATATAACTTATTATAGAAGAACCATTTCTTTTAAAGAAACAAAAGGAAATTATTAATTTAAAGGTTCAAGAATTCCTAAAATTTAACACTTATTTCTCTCTCAGATCAACAACACTTATTTCTCTCCCTTAATTCCAGACTTCTCCACTATTAACAGTCAAAGTTTGAAACTCACACTCAAGTTAATAACTACCAGTGCTGTTTCTTTTTAAACACACGCTTTCATGACTGGTGCTTTAGATCATTTCCATGAAGCCTATGAAGTTACTAGTGTTCCTGTAACTTTTTCTTTAGAATGGCATTGCCTAGACTTACTTCGACTCATTTCCTCAAACAAGTTCTTGGTCTCTTTCTCTCTCTCTCTTTTTTAATCAAGTAGCATAATATTTCCAGGATTAAAATCTCAGTCATTCTTCTCCCCAAAAAATTATTGACTCATATAAGTTCTAGCTTATAACATTTTTCAGTATTTATCTCTTCCTGCTCACTCATAACGCTACCTAGTTCAGGCCCCCAGTGTCTTGGGTATCATATAGATTTATGTATTGAGCTTAGTTTCAAAGTATTATGGTAGATATTTTTGAGAGGTAAGAAAGAACAGTTAATGAGGACCTCTGTATATAGATTATCCCTTTAGCACTTAAGACAAATGTGTAAGGTAAGTGGCACATTTGTCTAAATATTTGAAAATTTTGAAGGATCCAGTGAAATCAAAATAACTTGTCACATGTCATTTGGTTTAGCTGGAACTTAACTTTGCATTATCTTGACTCTTTTCATTATGCATACATAACTGTTCCACATGTTGGAAATGGCAAACTAAGTGACGCAATTCCTAATGTCATGAAATTGACAATTTAGTAAGGAATATGAGATGTGTATATTAAGAACAATGATCCTAAGAGCAAAATGGTCTAAGTTTTATAAGACATAAGAAGGTACAGTGTGCTCCTTCTGAGAAATTTGGGAAAAAAAGTCTCTAGAGTAGAACAGATTTTGAGCTAAGCTTTAAAAGACGTGTAAAATTCAAATAAAAATAGTGGAATAAAAGTATTTTAGGGGAGGCAAGAGTATGAAGAACAATAATGGAAAACTTAGAATAAAAACAAATCATGATGGGCTTCACAAGGGCATAAGGACTTAATTCTGAATTCAACGGGGGGAAAGGAATCAGGCTTGGACCAAAAGAGGGGCAGTGGGCAGTGAATGGAAGATAAGAAAAGAAGAGGTATATCAAAACTAGAAGAGTATTAAAGCTTGAGTTTAGAACGTGCTACGAATGTAATAATCCTTTAGATCTATTACATCTTTTTTTGAGACAAAGTCTTACTCTTTACCTGGGTTGGAGTACAGTGGTGCAATCATGGCTCACTGCAGCCTCCATCTCCAGGGCTAAGTGATTCTCCAACCTCAGCCTCCCAAGTAGCTGGGACTACAGGTACACACCACCATGCTCAGCTAATTTTTGTATTTTTTGTAGAGAAGGGGTTTCACCATGTTGCCCAGGCTGGTCTCAAACTCCTAGGCTGAAGTGATCTGCCTGCCTCTGTCACTGTCTCCCAATGTACTGGGACTAAAGGTGTGAGCTACTCTACCCGGCCTAGATTTATTACATTTAAGCTTAAGTAATATTGTTCCTGATGCAAGAGATGGGGCTTTGACTTTAGATCCAATACATTCATCTACAATTGTCAATGACAAATTCTCTTCATGGGTGTAAGAAAATAAATGTGTTGATATTCTGATTTCAGTGAATTGAAAATTAAAATACATGAAAATATGA